TTTTTCCATGTGGAACCACATACTAGCTGCTGCAAATATTTAAAGAGGTAAAAAGAAGTTGCTTTTTCAAGCTACAGTCATAAAAGATACAAATAATGATGATTAAGAACTCTGTGCTTGCTTAAGAAGCATAAAAGTCAGTCTATCCATTTTTAAAACCAGGATGAAAACTTTATAGTATTCTTCTTGAAATACTCAGGACCATGCCACGGGCACTCTCCCAGGCTCCTGAACTATTAATATTACTATTTTGTATGTCAAGAGCCATTTCTGAGACCGGGTCAACCCACCATGCTGTAGGCTGGCTTCCCCGATGGACCCTCCAACCTTTCCCCCTCTTCCCAACCTCCCTTCTGAATCCTACCTATGTATCCCTCAAGGCCTGCAAGAAGATCCACCTCCATAAAGCTCCCCGAATTCTCCCATTCCCAGTGATTCAGCCCTCTGAAAATTTGTAGCATTTATTACTAGGCCCTACAACTTAACAACTAGTCATATATATATATATAATTTTTTTTGAGATGGAGTCTGACTCTGTCACCCAAGCTGGAGTGCAATGGCATGGTCTCAGCTCAATGCAACCTCTGCCTCCCAGGTTCAAGCGATTCTCCTGCCTCAGCCTCCTGAATAGCTGAGACTATAGGAATGTGCCACCACACCCGGCTAATTTTTGTATTTTTAGTAGAGACAGGTTTTCACTATGTTGGCCAGGCTGGTCTCAAACTCCTGACCTTGTGATCCACATGCCTCAGCCTCCCAAAGTGCTGGAATTACAGGCCTTAGCCACCGCACCTGGTTAGTTGTATCATCTTAAAGGTGCCTTGAGTATCTATATTCTACATGGCTTGTATTTTGCTCTAATTATTTCCTACATGTTTTTTCTCCTCCCACCTAGGTTTATCAGCTTTTTAAAGACAACAACCATATTTGCATTTCTCCTATATCCTATCTACTATCTAACTCCCAAAATAAAATTATAAATGTGATCTAAAAAAGGTTATCCATCATAGAAATTCCATAATGCTCTTTAGCTTCTGTGAGTTATCTGCAGTGTCCCAAACAGATTTAAGGATCAAAGCCACTGGACAATGACACTGTCTAACCACAGTCCACAGAGTCAGGCCCATTCCCTACCACACTCACATTTGCCTTTGACACAGTGCCAGCTGCCACGTCTTCTGGAAAGGACACTCCCATTCAATCTCTACCCACATGATGGTCCCAGGGTCACAGAGTGACCTGAAGGCCATCCATAGGAGGCCCCCTTGGGCCACTTTCACTCTTCGTTTACTCCTGGATTTTGCTCACAGTGGCCACAAACTGATCTGGCCGCAGACCTCCCAGACACAGGCTGACTGTAATGCAATCACACCAGTGGGGTTACCTGTCTTCTTTATGCAAGCACCAGAACCTGATCTGCTACCCTCTTCTTCCTACACCCCAGAAATACAAAGAATCCTTTCTTCCTCCTTTTCCCTCACACAAAGACAAGCAGGAAAATATGATGCCCAATGGTTTAAAATATTTTGAGACAGACTTGTTTCAGGTAAAAAAAAATTAAATTATAACTTAGTTCATTCAACTGAATGTAAATGTTTGCAAACTTGCTTTTCCTTAACAATACATATATATGCATGATATGCATATACAATACCAAAAACTTCAAAATAAAAGGCATACATCAAAAAGAAGGCCTCTCCTCTCCACTCTCTCCCAGCTCTCAGTTTCCCTGTTCGGCAGCAGCAACTGTTACTGAATTATTCTACCTTCCAGACCATGTAGACTTTTTGAATCCTACTTTTTATTATGGGTTGCTAATTAGGAAGAAGAAATAAGTATTTACTAAGCATCTCCTGAGTACCAGGCCCTAAGATTTTTGACATCTATTTAACGTATATAACTGTCACCCCAACATTACGGGGCTAATATTATTTCCTCTACTCTTCTGCTGAGGAATCTGAGGTTCAGAAGAGTAAAAGACTTATTCAGGACTACAAACCTAGGTCCAAGTCCAAAGTCACTTTTCAAGCTACTCCCTAGACAGATAGTTTGGTATTTTTATTTTCGTTTTTTGAGACAGGGCCTTGCTCCATTATCCAGATTAGAGTGCAGTGGCATAAATACAACTTATTGTAGCCTTGACCTCCCAGGCTCAAGCCATCCTTCCATCTCAGCCTCCCGAGCAGCTGTAACCATTTGTGTGCCCCGCCGTACGTGGCTACTTTTTAAATTGTTTAGTAGAGGTGAGGTTTCGCCATGTTTGGCTAGGCTGCTCTTGAACTCCTGGACTCAACAATCCTCTTGCCTCAACCTCCCAAAGTGCTGGGATTATAGGAGTGAGCCACCATGCCAGCAGATTGCCCAGTTTCTTAAAATAGACTCTCCACCCAAAGCTCCTCTTTCGGGAAACATGGGCTCTGAAACCAGACCGCCTTAGTGTAAAAACTGGTTCTACAACTTAAAGCTCTAAGAACCCAAATTACTGTATGTCCCTAAGGCCTCAGTTTCTTCATCTGTAAAATGAGCTTCATAGTAATACCTACCACATAAGATTTGTGGCAAGATTAAATGAATTTCACATGAAAAGTTTAGCATAGCTCCCAACATTTGGTTAATAATGGTTAATTATTATTAGCATTATGGCCAGGTGAGGTAGCTCACGCCTGTAATCCCAGCACTTTGAGAGACTGAGGCAGGCTGAATCATGAGGTCAGGAGTTCGAGACTAGCTGGCCAACATGGTAAAACCCCATCTCTACTAAAAATGCAAGTATTAGCTGGGTGTGGTGGCATGCACCTGTAATCCCAGCTACTCGGGAGGCTAAGGCAGGAGAATCGCTTGAATCCAGGAGGCAAAGATTGCAGTGAGCTGAGATGGCACCACTGCACTCCAGCCTGGGCCACAGAGCGAGACTTCATCTCAAAAAAAAAAAAAATTTATACACACAATTAGTATTATTATCATATGGTTAACAAACAGAGCTTTGAAATGTTTTTATTGTTGTCATTTTTTATTCCCCCCATTTAGCTGTACAGTTCTGTGGCTTGGGGAAACAATTTGTATATGGAGAGCCATTTGAAATTGTTGGGCTCCATTATACCAATTTCCATAGCTCTCCTCCCCCAGGTCTGCTTCTCAATATTTCTTCTCTTAGCACTAACTGCCAAAATCACAGCCTTTTCCGCTGCCAAATCCCAGAAGCTTTTACTAGTGTTATTACAGTGGATTTTTTTAAATCATGGAAATATTTCAGTTTTTCTAACTAGATTCCAGCAACACCCTCCCTACTGCCACCAGTTTTTGATTTTTAAACCAAAAGTGTGTGTGCCTATCATTCCTCTGGGCCCCTGTTCATATATATGGAAGTCTAGAATGATGAAATCTTGCTAAAAATAATCTTAACCTATGTAAATGGAAGCTACGCAGATTCCCTTGGAATGGAAAAAGACATTTGTTAACCTGGTCACACAATTTAGAAACCCCTATCTGCTGAGTTGGGCAACATTTTCCATTTAATTGCCTTTTTCTCCTTAGCTGAAAGCCATAGGAGATATGTAGGCTGCATAACATACAGCCGCAGATGAGGAGGTCGAAGGAGGTTTCTGGGAAGTCAGATGATGAGGACTTTCATTCTGGCCAACAGCTAGTTGTACGCCTTTGTCCAAGCCTCTTTGCGCTCTATGAGTTTTATTTGATTTACCTACAGGATGAGAAGGTGAGATCAACTTTTTTCATAATCCTTTCCAGTTCCTTCTGTAAGTGGGTTGGTATTTTGCCATCATCCCATAAGCATCTCATCTGACCTGGGTTTTATCAGGACAGTAAGTTACACGTCATGATGCAGCCTCAGGAGATAAGCTTCAGCCAGAAGTAGGTGTGCATGTGACATGCTAGCCATAAAAGACGCAGCCTCCATTTATTGCAAAAATGCAGCTGTGCCAAGCTGTCAAAATATAATTCATGGCAAAACAAGAAAATCCAGGTTCACCTTTAATTATCTCATCTGAACTGATAGCTGAACAAGCCCATTTTGAGAGTGACATACCTTGGCTTCCATCTAATTCCCTTCCATGAATTTCTCCCATTCCACAACTCTGCTCAAGGTATCTGGAATGCAGCTAGCACAAGACTGGGATCATAGAAGGGTTTATGGGGTGATCTTTTAAAAAATATTACCGTGTACAACCCCTCTGCTGTTTTTCTCCCTTTTCTCCTGGGGGAAACTTTGTTTCATAACTCTGGCATCACAACTGGTTCCTCCAATCCCGAGTCTTTTATGATGGATAACAAATGAGGAAGAGCTCCTAGAATTCAGCGGGAGGAAAGGTACAGGTAGCAATAGATACTATTTTCCCAGAAAAGCCTTAACAGAGCTGAACGCGTTTCCCAAAGGCGAAGACGAACCATGCTAGTATGTCACTCCTGCACACCGCCCTCACGAGAGAGACTAGTTTCTTCTAAAAATAATATTTGGAGTGACGATTTCTGGCAACTTTAGAAATGTTGAGGTTTTTACTGATTCTTCTTTTGAAGATGTTTAAAGGAAGAATCTTCCTTTAAGACATTTCCTTTCAGATACTTTGAGCAGAGTTGTGGAATGGGAGAAATTCATGGAAGGGAATTCAATGGAAGCCAAGGTATGTCACTTTCAAAATGGACTTTTTCAGCTATCATTTCAGACGAGGTAATTAAAGGTGAACCTGGATTTTATTGCTTTGCCATGAATTATATTGTGACAGAATGTTTAAATATGAAAGTTCCTTTCTCTATAAGGCACAGACCCCCAAAATTTAAAAAAACATTATTTTTGAAAGTTATACACACAAACAGCAAGGAAGCTAGAGCATGCCATCCACGGAAGCTACCCTGAGCTGGGGACAAGAGCACTTGAGTGTCTGTAGTTTATTAACCCAGCAGTGCCTTATCAAGGTGGGGAGGAGCATTTCTGCAGCTCCGTGGAGCAGAAGGAACAGCCAGACTGTGAGTCACCGCATACTCACGTCACTCTTTCTGAACTTCGCTTTCAAGCTCTTCATGTTTAGTCCATTCAGCCTTCCAAAGCTCTAAAGGAGACTTTTCAATACCTAAGCAGAGAAAAAAAGAACATATGTAGGTTTCCAAATAAGATATTCTCTCCTGATTGGATTATAACTCTGGGGTGTGGGAAGGAGATAGAGCAGGGTTGGATTGGGAAGGTGGTCAGCTAACAGCTGAGAAGTGGTAAATAACATATTTCCACTTACCATCTACTCCCTAGAAGCTTCTGAAATTTTCAAATTAACCAAAACTTTAATTTTTTTCCTTCTTGTATTTATTTTAATTGACAAGTAAAAAATGTATATACTTTTAAGGTGTACAACAGGACTTTTGAAATATGCATATATTGTAGAATGGCTAAATTTATCTAATTAACATATGCATTGCCTCACATACTTATAATTTCACTGTGATGAGAACATTCCAAATCTACTCTCAGCATTTTTTCAAGTATACAATACACTAACTATAGTTACCATGTTGTACAATAGATCTCTTCATCTATTCCTCCCAACTGAAACGTTGCACCCATTGACCAACATCTCCCCAACTACCTCCCTCACCATCCCCACCCCCACACCTCACACCCCCACACTCCCATACCCACTCTTGGTAATTACCGTTCTATTCTCTGCTTCTATGAATTGGACCTTCTTTGATTTGTATATCACTGAGTTCTCAAACATTAAAAGTAGAGCAAGTCTGCCAGGTGCGGTGGCTCACACATGTAATCCCGGCACTTTGGGAGGGTGAGGCGAGCAGATCATGAGGTTAAGAAATCAAGACCATCCTGGCCAACATGGTGAAACCTCATCTCTACTAAAAATGCAAAAATTAGCTGGGCGTGGTGGCACGTGCCTGTAGTCCCAGCTACTCAGGAGGCAGAGGCAAAAGAATTGCTTGAATCTGGGAGGTGGAGGTTGCAGTGAGTTGAGATTGCACCACTGCACTCTAGCCTGGGCGACAAAGCGAGACTCTGTCTCAAAAAAAAAAAAAAAAAAAAGAGTAGAGCAAGTCTAAATTGCTGCTTAATTGTCACTGCACAAAGTGCTGTATCTCTACATTCAAGTCATTCCTACACATATCTTCTGTGCTGTAATCATGCCATCTACCTCCTTGCAAGAAGTGATGAGGAAAACAGTTCATATTCCAGATGCCATTCATTCCCTATGTATTTTTCTAAGTGTTTGTTCCTGTCTCCCCTCCCCAGAATGTACAGGACAGTTAGTGAAAAACTCCAGGAACAACAAAACCTCCCTCATCAAATGGCTCATTCCTCAGGGGGCCTCCCTAAACAATGCGAGACTCTCAGGGTCCTGTGGGACCCAGCAATTCTGAGTTGCAGCTGAATCTTAAGCAATCCCTTCATTGAAGATGGGCCTGTGGTTCCCTGGAAATTGAGTGTAATTATCTTTTAGCAAGTATACATTTACCTTTTTTCAGAGAAGAAGGTTCCAAGTTTTCACTGGATTCTACAAGGTAGCTGCCACCCTTCAAAAGTCAAGATTGCTGGTCTAGTCTAAGCGCCTCATATTGCAGGCGTAGAAACAGAGCCTCAGACAAGTTTAGAAACTTGCCTGCAGTCACAAATCCTATTCATGATGAAATTCAGAACCAGACCCTGAGATCTGACTAGTGGCTGAATGCTTTTTTCACTGCTATGTTTTTCTTTTTTTTTATTTCAATCGTTTGGGGGTTATAGGTAGTTTTTCGAACATGAATTATTTAGCAATGAATTCTGAGATTTTAATGCAACCAAGATGTTGTCTTTTATCCCTCACCTCCCTCCCTACCTCTCCCTACCCTGAGTCCCGACAGTCCATTATATCACCCTGCATGTTTTTCATCCTTATAGCTTAGCTCTCGCTTACAAGTGAGAGCATACAGTATTTGGTTTTCCATTCCCGAGTTACTTCACTTAGAATAACGGCCTCCAGTTCCAACCAGCACTGCCTTATACAGTTTTATAACTAAAACCAAAAGCCAAATCCTGTATTAAAACATGTATAGACTTTTTTCCCTTTTTTGTGGAGAATGGGGTCTCGCTATATTGCCCAGGCAGGTCACTCCTGAACTCCTGGCCTCAAGCTATTCTCCAGCCTCTGCCTCCCTAAGAGCTGGGATTATAGGCATGAGGCACTGTGTCTGGCAAACAGGTACAAACTCTCTCTTCTTCAATAAATGTACAAAATGCGTAACCTTTGCATGTAGATTTAAAAAATGAAAATATACTTAGGTTAGAAAGGAAAGATAATCCATATGAGTTTCCATCACATAGTAAGTGCTCAATAAATGTCACTTCAAGCCCACTGCAAGTGAGAACAGGTGCCCTTTAACAGCACCATCCCAGTGGAGAACTGAGGAATAGCAGGCACACGTTTATCAGTTAACCACTGTTTTCAGAAGCCTTGCAAGGTCATTTCACATTCCTTCACACATCCTTATTATTCTGAACAAAACTGACTTGAGAGTATGGGTCGGGGGTGCAAGCCACTGAATGCCATTCTAATCCTTCTTCATGTCCTTGTTGCTACCTTCAGAAGCCACCCAGTGACTCTCTGGCTTCCATTTACTTTCATTCTTGCTACTGCCATTGACTAAGGCCCTTGGATAAATGGTGTGAAAACCCAGTCATGATAAAGCACTTTGATGGCGTGAATCTGGAGGCCTCACTGTGACTGCAGCCTCCTCACCACCCCTTTCAATCTTCCCAGCCTTTGCAGGAGTGACAGATGCATGTTGCCTTGGAAAGTACACACACTGTAATTACACATTGTTAACTGCCAAGCATTTAATCATAGAAAGGGCTGGGCTGGTACCTGAATAGCAAGTGCAAATTCCAGGGCAGTGTTTCTCAAAGTCAACCCCTCATTAATCCACATCAGAAAGACCTGGGGACAATTTGCTAAATGCAACCTTTTAGTTCCCACCCTATGTTATCCTATGGAAACTGAATTTCAAGGGCAGAGCCCAAGAGTCCTTGGTTGAATCTTTTGCACACTGAAGTTAGAGAACCTAGAACTGATGTAGGCAGAACAGGAACATACTTGTCAGAGTTGGGCTGGTTCATAAACGAAACTTGGGTTGGTTTTTTCACGTCAAAACAGAATCACCTTTTGATGAATCAAAGTAGAAATCATAATAATCAGATATTCCCAAACTGTCACTGGATGGCCCAGGGTTTCTACACCAACTGTTGCTAGAAAGTGGAAATCCTCCTTCGAATTTAATTCCTTCCTCCTTCTTGTGGAAGTACCAATAACCAAGGAAACAGGCCAAATCAGTGCAGCAGGAAAGGGAGAAGAGATAGGTCAAGTACTGGATAACCCAAAACTGTGCAGTAGCCCATGCAGAGCCACTAAAAGCTTTCCTCCATTCACATATTCAGAGAACACAGTCTTAGGCAACAGTGGGTGAGATTTTTGTTTGAGGTCACGGGGGCTTCCTGGGTATTATTGTGTTAGTTTTTCTGTGTATTTGTCTTTGGCTTCTTTTTTTTTTAAGCATGCAGTGAGAAATATGCAAACTCTTATTTGAAGAGGATTAACTAAATACAGTAATAATTCCAAAAGTTCCCAGGGGAAGATATTAACCGCCAAATTCAGTGTCTTCCTGGAGTCTGTGACTCTGGGTGTGGGAGAGCTGGGTGACCCATGGGCGTAACTCCACAGTGATAAAGATAGGTGTCAAAGGTAAGAAGTTTGGAAATCCACACAATGGTAACTCCAGAAGCATTAACTGTAGCGGGAGGTTACGTTATTAATAGATCACTGCTTTCCCAGTACTCGTCAAAAGATCTACACCTGGAAGCCATGGCTGGCAGAAAGTAACCTGGCCCTGGAATAACACCAGGTGCCAGCTATCTCAGCATCTCCTCTTCCTCAAGATGAATCGTGAATAAATGAACTCGCCTTCCTTGGGTCAACTGGGATGTTACAGTCCCATTTTTCCATCTCAAACTTCCAAAGCCCAGGCTGGGCTACAACCTATGTTTAGTAAAGTGACATCTATCAGTTTAGCAAGGCCACACTAAAGGCAGTCCATGGAAAAGCCATTAAATTGGGAGGCTTGTTTCAAAAAAAAAAAAAATGCAGCAAAGCTGAATTAGCTGCACAGCAGCCTAATTCAAGTACGTACAGAAAACAATCACGCATCTATGGAAAACGCTCTCTGAACTAAGTTCTCCCACTGCAAGCAGAATAAAGCACACCTACTCACTGAGCAGAAATATTAGTCAGTTTACTACCCATTTAATTCAAAATAAGTCCCTGAAATATGTCACTGGCTACCAATCATCACACAATGTTTGTCACTTTGATAGATGAGGATGGAGCAAAGCAGAGATGTATGTCCTTGTTTCCATCTCATTTGAAAGGCTGGATGCAACACTGTTTATTTATTAATTCATTTTCGTTTAAAAAATAATGTAACTCCCAATCTTAGCCTAAATTTTGAAACCTTGATATTAGCCTAGACAGCTTTATCATGAAGAAAAAACTTAAACTTATTTGAGTATTAAAAAAAAACAACAAAACCTTACAATGGATATAGGGTTTTCTTTTAGGAGTAATGAAAATGTTCTAAAATGTATTGCTGTAATGGTTGCACAACCTGTGATCATACTAAAAGCCATTGATTTGTACACTTCCAAGAGGTGAAGTGAATGGTATATGAATGATATCTCAACAAAGCTGTTATTTTTTTTAAAAAGTTAGTAATCTCTATTACATTCTCCAATCCTTAGGATTAAGAAAATTACAGCTTAGTCACGCCTGTAATCCCAGCATTTTGGGAGGCCAAGGTGGGTGGATCATCTGAGGTCGGGAGTTCGAGACGAGCCTGACCAACATGGAGAAACTCCGCCTCTATTAACAATACAAAGTTAGCCAGGCATGGTGGCACATACCAGTAATCCCAGCTAGTGGAGTTTCCTGAACCCAGGAAGTGGAGTTTGCGGTGAGCCAATTGCACCCTGGCCTGGGTAACAAGAGTAAAACTTTGTCTCAAAAAAAAGAAAGAAAAGAAAAAGAAAATTCCAGCTTAGAAA